TGTGACATCACACAGACAGGCATCTGAGATCGCCTCGATTTGAGAAAGAGGAAAACATTTAACCAGATTAAAATTGTTTTTTTAGCATTATAGGGTGGTTGTGTACACACACTGCCAACACACATTTCAGTTCAAACAACTTGTAAAAGTGCATGTAGCATCCTATGACCCCTTTAAGGAGTCTAAATACACAAGCTAAATAGAAGTTCCTAAGGGCTCTGGTCCTGTCCTGTGATTGTGCATAAAGATTTTACAAATTCAAAACTTTATTAAGACAGTATATATACGTTACTGTATACAATACCCATTAAAAAGCATGTCATCTTAAAATAAGGTTTTTTATGTTTTTGAAAGAAGTCTCATGTATTCCAAGGCTGCATTTATTTAATTCAAAATGAAGCAAAATAACAATAATATAGTGAAATATTATTACAGTTTAAAAGAACTGTTTTCTATTTTAATGTATTTTAAAATGTAATTTATTCCTGTCATGGTAAAGCTGAATTTTTTGCATCATTACTCCAGTCTTTACCGTCACACAGTCCTTCAGAAATCATTACAAAATGCTGATTTCAGCTCATTATCAGTGTTGAAAAAGTTGTGCTGCTTAATATTTGTGTGGAAACTGTGATACATTGTGAGGATTCTTTGGTAAATAGAAAGACCAAAAGAAACATTATAAATGTTTTGATCACTTTGATGCATCCTTGCTGAATAAAAATAATTTATTTTTTAAAAATTACGAGGAAAAAGTGTTTTAGATGCAGTATACATTGCGGGACACTGCTGTGAAGTGCTATGTCATCTCAGTTGTCACTCGTGTATAAACGACAGCAAACTGCATCAGACTGAGAAGCAGACAATGGTATAGTCAACCAGCCACCTTTTTCAATTCATTATCATACCAAGTAACGCACCCTACGCATGTTTGGTATTCATACTATGGATAAGATTACAGATACCACAGTGTATGTGAAGCAGAACTCAGCCGAACAATGTGCAAACACGAGCAGGTTTAAGAAATCTCATTTGCTGTCTGCTTATCTGGTGTGTGTGGTCATGTAGCGACAAGCCTTCTCTTGAAAATGATCTCTTCATCTTTCATGCCACTGAGTATTTCAGATGAAGATGAGGAAGAAGGAAGGTAGAAAATGGGGTGGGCCAGTGGGGTTATGGGTAATCCAAACTACAGCGCATCCTTTCACTGTGTGCTTGCTTCATACCATATAAGGAAGAATCAACCCACCTGAGGCCAGGTACACTCATACTCATACTTGTCAGTGTCCTTAACAAGTTGTCTTGCTGTGAGCCTCCGTTTTGTTAATCATTTCCATAAAATAACATTTTCTGCCACAAGTCAATTTCACATAGGATTACGTGAATAATCTGTCTGACCTTCTTTGTGGCCTTTCTTGAACTTTGACTTTTTGATTTTTCTGTAGAGGAGGCCTGTTTACTTTGTTGCCAATATAACAGCAACATCATTTACAATAATCAATTCACATGTCTCAACCCCCGATTGACACACACAGAAAAATGCAGTATCTATAAATGCCATGAAGATCATGTGTCAGTAGTTTACAGACCAGCTTATAGTTATCGTCTGACTAGTGCTTATTGTTTTATGATATCCTGTGGGTGAGCAGTATACGTTCACTTTAGTCTCCTGCTCTCTCTCTCTCTCTGTCTTAGTTTACCTCCACAATATGAGTCTTTAAATATACTGAGGAAAATCACTGCAGGAATGCAAGTACAGGCAAAGCTCGGCATTCCTTCACCCTCCACCAGCAGCCTTCCTCCAGCATTTATGAAGCATTTAAGCTAATAATCCATACACTCTCTATGTACTACAAGGGATATTATGATTTTTTTGTGTGTGATTATTTAAGTAATTTAAATAATAAAACGCGTCAAGTCAATTTTATGATGTTTTCATTGCAATCTTAGCACAATTTTGAGTGGAACTTTGTAGAAATTCAGAGGTTTAATTGCGATGTAAAATTGTTGAAAAAAGCATTCAAATTCAGCATTCTATTCTGAATCCCATATTTACAATATTTATTGTTTTTCTTCTTGTATATTTAAATATTTCATGCATATTTAATTAGTAAAATCTGCTTTAAATGTTCTAAATTCTAAACCGTATCTCTCTTTCCTGTATAAAACAAAAACATAATTTAATTAAATTAAATTTCAGTGTTGTATCAGACGTTTGGACTGTATTTCTATGGAAGCCCGTTTCCGCCACTGAATAAAAAATAAAAAAAGGTAATTGTGACTTTTTTTCACAGAATTGCGAGCTATAAAGTCAGAATTGCGAGATATAAAGTCAGAATTCTGACTTTTTTTTCTCACAATTGCGAGTTTATATCTCGCAATTCTGACTTTTTTCGTGATATAAACTCGCAATTGCGAGTTAAAGTTGAGGGGGGTAACAATACTGATATGTTCTCAGAATTGCGAGTTTATATCTCATAATTCTGAGGAAAAAAAGTCAGAATTGCGAGAAAAAAAGTTAGAATTGCGAGACATAAACTCGCAATTGTGAGAAAAAAAAGTCAGAATTGTGAAATAAAAAGTCGCAATTACCTCTTTTATTTTTTATTCAGTGGCGGAAACGGGCTTCCATATAGACCAATTACCGGTTTGTATTTAGCTTCAAATGACGACAGTATTCTATAAAAATTATTTGCATTCCGATCTTGACATCAAAAGGCACAAAAATATTTTTTTCTTTTATTCCGTGGATTTTACCCATTTACCTCCACTTGTTCCCAATGTTTTTCTGCAACCACTATGCGCGCGCAGCTGCAAGTGACGTAACTGTGACGTCTACTCTAAATTGGTCTATATTTCAGACCTAACAGCCTAACATCACTTTTTTTTTTTAAGATCACAATTATAGCCGTGCTGAAGAAATGACCAATCAATGAAAGCACATCTTTTGATTGACACGTCCAAAGAAGCGCTCAATCATATAAGTGGGCGGGACAATAAGGTTGTCGACGTTGTATAGACCCGCCCACGCAGCTGATTTAAGAGTCAGAGGGAGTTTGCTGAGAGGAAACTAGAGTGCACAACGCCGGTGAGCTAACAGGAAAGTGTCACAAACTCCAGTGTTTTTCGGATAATTTTGTCGCATCCGTGTCATTCTCCGTAAAAACAGGAGATTTGGGGAAAGCAGGTCTTCTCAATAAAAGGCGCCTGAGAGAAAACAGGTGAGCTAACGTTTAATATTCAGTTACACTTCAGTTCTTCTCACCTGAGCGCGCACCTGTACCTGTTCTGCACAATCAGACAATGCTCGCGCGTGGAACCATGCTGCTGATAAAATTCTTTCATGTTAGGGAAAAGGAAGTTATTACTATAGTCTTAATTTAGGGAGACTTCGTGAAACATATTCAAAATTAGAATACCATAACATGTTGATACTTCTATTATTATTATTTTATTGTACTGCTACCCAAAATAATGTAGCTACTAGAATGCACGAGCAACTCCGCTATCTGTAACATCTCAGTTCTGGTCTGTGCAACACGCCCAGTCTGCATTTGTGTGTGTGTGTGTGTGTGTGTGTGTGTAGTAGAAACGACCTGAATTGCTCAGCCCTGAGGACACGCATTCAGACCAGACTCTGAACAAAACGCCTTAACTCTTATGTCACAGTGCTAGTTACAAAGTTGCATGAATGTCTTCATTTCTTTGAAGTCTTTTGCATTAGAATTATTTCAATTTGCCCTGCATAAAATGGTCACAGTAAGCATTGGTGTCTCCTGTGTTGCTGTTGTTGACTTCATCTCAGAGCTGTTGGCATTTGAACTATAAGCAAGGATTGAGCATAAGCTAAGATCAGTGGGATGAGAGAACGTGCTGATGGAGGGATAAAATAAAGCATGGCACTGCAGGTGACTACTGTGACGGCAGGACAGACTCGCACCCTTTAAAACATGTCGCACATTACCCTCTTCAAAAATAATTTACAAATAAATTAGTTCTGATGTGTAAAGCTAATATTGAGCTTAATCTTATCATATTTCAGCCTATTGAGACTACTTTTTGTACATTTAAAAAAACAAATGCAATGCTTTTACTTGCTCAATTGGCATAAAATTGGCATTTAAAGGCATGAAATTAAATGTAAAAGGGTATTTCACATGAAATATAAAATATATATGAGAAATATTATATATAAATGTGTATTTATTGAGATTCCAGGGTGAAATATGAAGGATATTTTACCAAGTCTTGTGTTTGGCCCTGATGGCTGGATATAACCAGGTTTGAATTTCTACACTTAAACTGTAGACTGAAGTATTATAAACAATTAAATGCAAATTCAGGCTGTTTTCTGCAGATCTTCTGTTACAAGTTTTAAATTCAGACAGCAAGCTCTAACATGTTGCCTTCTAAGGTCTTGCATTAAGGCTTCAAGCTAGAGGAAGTGTGTCAGTGCAATGAAGCAACTTTTCAATATCAACAAGTTCACTGTTTTGTTCTGTCATGGGTGGCTGTTTTTTCCTCATTGCTAAACCACGATTGTCCAACAACTGTCACTTACATGTTCTATACTTCACTCATAGTTTGTACCTTTTTTTTGTTCTTGTATAATCAGATGACAAACCATCGCGGGGCAACCCAACAGAGGTGCATGTCATGTGCACGGGCACACGCGGTCATCTGCATTTAATCACAGCGACTGTATTTGAGCTGTTAATGAACTTGCAGACAGAGATGACACCCTGCTAATCTCCTTATCCCTCTTACACTCGCTCCATCTCAACAGTACACTAAAGCTGTGCTGTTGTCATCTCTTTTCAATTTCAAGATATACCTCTCTGACGCTCTGAGTGCCATTAATGGTATCACTGCACATCACTTTGCATCTTTTTCCCACTCTGGCTGTCTGGCTTTCTATCTGTCTGGTTAGAAATTGTCAGATTGAAATGAGTGTAGAGGTTGCTATCAGTAAGTATACTCAATGTTTGAATAGGCAGAGAACTTTGAATCCCAGAAGCCTCTCTTTTCCTTGCCCCTGAGAGATGGATCTATGTAGGACACTGCCATATGACTCACCTTGAGTTACCAGAGTGAAATCCCACTTTTTTTTTTTTCTTCTTCTTCTTTAAGTCATGTTCCTTGTTTTCCTTATTTATATATTTTAATTTTATTTGTTATTTATTCAGTAACCATATTACAAATGGCAGTTGTGAATTGCAATAAACTCTTTTATAATTGTCAATATTAGAGGTGTGGTGCACAGTTCTTGATTTTTAGTTAAAAAAAAATAAATTCAGAACTTTTAGTGGTAACTGTCTGCAAATTTTACAGTAATATGCATTACTGGTAATATATATTACTAGTATATTTTAACAGCATCCTCAGAATTGGAGAAAAATATATTCCCCAAAAGTCTGTTCGGATACTGAAATACTGTATTCGTGACATTATTAACAATGTACTATAGACGCACCCCAAAATGGCAGACATTGACCATTTTGAGTGGAACTGAACTGACTTCCAGTAAATTTGTGCAGTTAGGCATGCCTACTTCTAGATCTTTTACAGCCTTTTGCTTCTAAATGGATCCTTTTTAAGTAACATTGCTCTGATATTCATATTATGCATATTAGAATTTATCCATTTAGACTCTGACAGCATAGGCTATGTTTCTTTAAAGAGGAACTTTGCATAATTTATCAAACTCATCAGATGTTTCTTATTTGCCCTCTGAATGTTTTTTAAGTGGGCTCTTGTGATTAAACATTTCTGAACATGCATAGCGCTGTAAGCTGTTTAAGCCATATTAGGTTAAATTTTTGCACTTTTTACAGAAATAAAGGTGTTATCCTTAATTTCAGAGTTCTGGAGCCTTCTGAAAGGTGTGGCGGATAATGAAATTGTCTTTGTCCAAACTTGTTTAGGAATTACTCCTTCAGAACAGATGTTTCTCCACTTCAAAGTAATAGGAGCTTGTGTCTTGTGTATGTTTGCATCAGCACACAGTAGGTGTTTGGAAGACCCTCACTAAAAGTGCCTTAAGGTGCGACGCGTCGCGAACTAAGGAATGCATTTTCAAAGTCTGTTTTATTGCACACTAGCATTTTGCATTACTGCTGTATGTTACTGCTATTTGTCTCTTAAGTTACATTGATCTTGCCATGAAAATAGCCATAGATGCTGGTATGGCAATGCAAACAAATGAATGAATGCACTAGCTAAATGTAGGCCTGACACCATAAATGTCATGGAAACGGTGGGTCTCATTTAAAAATAATTTCGTTCTTGCCGCAATTCTGCACGGTGCATGCATAATTTTTCAGAATTCATACGATACTAGCATGATATAACATTAAACTAAAATTAAAATGATAAATATATGAATTATAAAAATATTAAAGTTTTGGAAATCTAAGACTTTTTAAAATGTGGTGTTTTAATTGGTTCTAAATTTTGTCCTAAACGAAGAATAAATGGAAATGAGAACTTTTGCTGAATCATGATTTCTGCATGAAAATGTTTAACATGTGCGCACAAACCCAGTTACTGTTTGTATTTTGCCACTTTCCAGGTTAGTCAGACTTGATTTCTAGCCACAAAAAAAGACATTACCAAGCACTTGTATTTGGTAATATGAATTTTTAAAACTGATTGGTGGGGTTCTAATTTGAGTGTGGGAATTTACGGAATTCCTATAATTACGTGTTGTTAAAGAAATTTGACTCCGTATGGAATAAATCGGGAAAGGGAAGGACAATTAGAAGCAAAAGAGTCAGAAGCCTGAGCAGGTGTGGTTGTCATGTTCTATAGGACAATAATGACACATACTGGAGTCAGATGCTTGAACGAGTAAGCATCTGACTCCCGCCCCCCCAAGATGCTGTCGTTATGCTAGTTTTAATTCTCAGATCCTCTTCCCTGAACATTTGCCATCTTATTTGGGTTATCCTGCGGAACTTTAATATTTTAAAACCACAAAAACACAAATGCTTTCACTTTCTCTCACATGTAGCCAAAATGTCAGACGCAGAGAAGTTCCTCTATGCCGACCGCAATACTATCAATGACCCTTTGGCCCAGGCGGACTGGGCCTCTAAGAAGCTGGTGTGGGTTCCCTCAGAGAAGCTTGGCTTTGAGGCCGGCTCCGTCAAAGAGGAGACTGGAGATGAGTGTCTTGTGGAGCTGGTCGACTCTGGCAAGAAGATCAAGGTGAACAAAGATGACATCCAGAAGATGAACCCACCCAAGTTCAGCAAGGTGGAGGATATGGCGGAGCTCACCTGCCTGAATGAAGCCTCTGTTCTGCACAACCTGAGGGAGAGGTACTACTCGGGGCTCATCTATGTAAGTCTGTCTGAACTGCGCATGTTTGTGGTGTTCAAGTTCCGATATTGTGCATGTACTGGCAGGTTAACAAATTAACATGCTGACTATGCAGAAAACTTGTGGAAAATGCATCATTGTTTCATGTTGTTTCATTACTCACAGAGAGTCATCTAATGTTGGGTTATTTGTGATGTTATTTGTAAGCGTTTAGTCAATCTTCTTAACACTTTATGACGAATGGCATGTGTAAATCATTGTTTCAGACATACTCTGGGCTCTTCTGTGTGGTAATAAACCCATATAAGCATCTGCCTATCTACACGGAAGAGATCGTTGAGATGTACAAGGGCAAAAAGAGGCATGAGATGCCCCCTCATATCTACGCCATCACAGACACGGCCTACAGGAGCATGATGCAGGGTGAGAACACTAACTGCATGACTGATACTATTGTTCTTGCCAAAATGGCACTCATGTTCATGTGATCGTGTTAATTCGTTTTTCTTGATCTTTTTAGATCGTGAGGATCAGTCCATATTGTGCACGTAAGCTTGACTTGGAACTTCTGAAATACTAGTACCAAAATAAAAAATAAAAATGACCAGCACTGTGTTCTTTCAAAACTTATTCTTTATTAATATTTCCCCAGGGGTGAATCTGGTGCTGGAAAAACAGAAAACACCAAAAAAGTCATTCAGTACCTTGCATTTGTAGCGTCATCCTTCAAAACAAAGAAAGATCAAGTGCGTATAAAAACCCCCTTTTTTCCCCACTGAGTTCACTGTCATGGAAACCAGTCATTCACGAGCAAATGTTCATTTGCGTACACCGCTGACAGATAAGACGAGTGCTGGTTGTCATGACAGAGCTGTTCATAAATAAATAACCACATCCATTTTTAACATCAGCTATTGTCTCCAGCCCCCTTCATGACAAATTTTTTGTTGATATCGGTTTTATCTCTTCCTGTTTTTCATCCTCCATTTTTCCTGTGAAAAGTCTTTCTCCGTTTTTCTTTATGGATTTGAAACTTCTGTCATTCTCTCTGGACCAGGAAGTCAAAATTCTGTGTTTTCACATTTCCTGTATCGGGCTTAGACCTATTCCCACTGGATTTCTAATGACTTTGTGAATACCTGCATATTTGTTTATGGTTGATAATACACTAAACCCTTTAAAAAAACACTACAAGCATCCTGTTGTGCCATATGGTTGAGCATGTTTGAGTGTCCCTTCATTTTGTGCCCATATTTTGAGACTTTTTCTCTCTTTTTCATCCTCCAGAGCAGTGTCAGCCTGTCACATGTGAGTTATACGCCTTCCCCATTCCTCTCTCTGTCCAACCATACCATCCATTACTTTTTTTTTTTTTTTGGCTGTATACACACCCCTCTTTCCTGGTCATTTGATCATGGTTGTCTACAGGCTTGATTATATGTTATGTTATGTTGCAAAGTCTCCTAACAGCTTCAGCTAATGCAAATTCTAACACTGGTGTGGAACAAAGTTTAATGCACGAATGGTTTTTAGCATTATAAACGTAGTGGAAGAAGCAGAAATGGGCATCAGTTTTCAGCCTCAAGCAAAACTTTCATTTGCAAATAGGTGATCTGGGTCTACTGTGTATTGATGGTTTGGGAACTTTGTTTCAGGATATGTAGTCTTTGTTTCACTAGTCACTAACAGTTCCTGCTGTTGTAACTTTTAAATGTGCTCTTAATTCCATCTAATGAATTTTTTGTCTGCCAGGGTGAGTTGGAGAAACAGTTGCTCCAGGCTAACCCAATTCTGGAGGCCTTTGGCAATGCCAAGACTGTGAAAAATGACAATTCTTCTCGATTCGTAAGTGTGCACAGACAAAAATCCACTTGACTCCTCTTAAAAGGTCCCAAGGTCTTAAATGTCGACATGAATCAATAAAAGCTATTCATTCACAGGGAAAGTTTATCAGGATAAACTTTGATGTCAACGGTTACATCGTTGGAGCCAATATTGAGACCTGTATCCTTTGACTGAAACATTTAGGAAACTAAAATATTAACAAACTAACAATTTATTTCATTGTTCTCATGCAGAATGTATTCATCTTATTCTGTTAATCCCCTAACAAGCATTTTTCAGATCTGTTGGAGAAGTCTCGTGCAATCAGACAGGCCAAAGATGAACGGACCTTCCATGTTCTTTATTACTTGTTGTCGGGAGCAGGAGACAAATTGCGTGGTGAGAACCATTTCATGCCATTAACAAATTCAAGCTATAAATTCTTCAAAGCCATACATGTTAGTTTTTTTTAAATTATTTATATAATTTGAAGGAACAAGAATCAACTCAACGTGATACTGTGTTTTGTGAATATACACCAAGTTTGCTTAACTTTAACACTGAATACCCATGAGACAGTGTAGTATACTCTAGGACTAATCTCTGTGAAAAGTTTCTAAAGTCTATTCTCCACTCTACAGCTGAGCTGTGCCTAGAGGACTACAATAAGTACCGATTCCTGTCAAATGGAAATGTTACAATCCCTGGACAACAGGATAAAGAACTGTTTGCTGAAACCATAGATGCCTTCAGGATTATGGGCATCCCTGAGGAGGAGCAGACAGGTATAGAGATTCAAACAAGACACACATTCATCATTATTTCTTCTGCAGTGTGTTTAATCGCCTAAAGGTGTGGCATCTTTCATGAATCAGGAAAGCTTGCCAGTTTCTCATGATGGCCTGTGTTGAACTATACTTTGTAGCTATTCTTATTATATTGAATGAACTTGAAGGTTGGTGTTTGTCTTTCTGAGAGGTGGCGTTTTGGTCTGAGGAAATGTAATGTGTTCTGTTATCATGTCCCAGGTCTTTTGAAGGTAGTATCTGCTGTACTACAGTTGGGAAACATGAGTTTTAAAAAGGAACGCAACTCTGACCAAGCCTCCATGCCCGATAACACAGGTTCCACTTTCTTTATTAACATGCACTACAAATGAATCCCAGCTTGGTTTATTCTTACATGTTATACTTAATGTTTATTCTAGAGTGAAATCAATCATCTTTTCTGAGTTTTAAATGTTAATTTTCTCATTTATCAGCTGCGCAGAAGGTGAGTCACCTCTTGGGCATGAATGTGACCGATTTCACACGTGCTATTCTCACGCCACGCATCAAAGTGGGTCGTGATTACGTTCAGAAGGCTCAGACTCAAGAGCAGGCTGAGTTTGCAGTGGAGGCTTTGGCCAAAGCCACTTATGAGAGACTATTTCGCTGGTTGGTTATGCGCATCAACAAAGCTTTAGACAAGACCAAGCGCCAGGGAGCTTCTTTCATCGGAATCCTGGATATCGCTGGATTTGAGATCTTTGAGGTGTGACAGGGTTGTGGAAAAATTTGAATTTCCCAGATGTTTTATTTTTGAGTGCCTCCATTCTAATGGACCATTTTGATTTCAAATTCTTTCTCTCTCTGTAGCTGAACTCTTTTGAGCAGCTCTGCATCAACTACACCAACGAGAAGCTTCAGAAGCTGTTCAACCACACCATGTTCATCCTGGAGCAGGAGGAGTACCAGCGTGAAGGCATAGAATGGAGCTTCATTGACTTCGGCCTTGACCTGCAGCCCTGCATTGAACTCATTGAGAAGACTGTAGGTTTATTCTTTCCTCTTCAAACTTTGTAGATTCCTTTGCTTGTCTCAAATCCTCCTCCATTCCCCCTCTCAGGCTGGTCCTCCAGGAATCCTGGCTCTGTTGGATGAGGAGTGCTGGTTCCCGAAAGCCACAGACAAATCCTTTGTGGAGAAGGTTGTTCAGGAATTGAGCAACAACTCAAAGTTCCAGAAACCCAAGAAGCTCAAAGATGATGCTGACTTCTGTATCATTCACTACGCTGGCAAAGTAAGAGCCATTATGGGTCTTAAACATTATTTGAACAAGATTAGTTTCTCCTATGTTTGTAAAGTAATTAATACTGTGGATGTTTGTACCATGAAGTCATACTGGATAAGCAATGTCGCATCACAATGTTATAGTGTTCAGTATAAAAAATAAATGAACACTTACAGTCATGGCCAAAAGTTTTGGCAGTGACAAATTTTGTTTTGCAAAGTTTGCTGCTTCAGTATTTGTATTATTTTTCCACATGTTTCTATGGTATACTGAAAAACAATGATAAGCATATCATAAGATTTAAAGGGGTCATATGATGCGATTTCAAGTTTTCCTTTCTCTTTGGAGTGTTACAAGCTGATTGTGCATAGATAAGATCCCTGAAGTTGCAAAGACTAAAG